GGGGGTGCGGAGGGGTGAGCGTGCAGCGTTGGGGGAGGGTGCGATTGGGGACCCGGGGCTGTGATGGGGACATGGACATGAGATGGGGACACGGGTGTGCAAGAGGGACACGGGCATGTGGTGGGGACATGGGTGTGCAATGGGGACACAAGTGTGCAAGAGGGGCACGGGTGTGTGATGGGGGACACAAGTGTGCAACGAGGACCAAGACATGCGAAGAGGCCACGGGTGTGTGATGGGGACATGGGTGTGCGATGGGGGCACAAGTGTGCAACAGGGACATGAGTGTGCGGTGGGGATACAGGTGTGTGATGGGGACATGGGCATGTGATGGGACACAAGTGTGCAACAGGGACACAGATGTGCGATGGGGACATGGGTGTGCAACAGGGACACGGGCATGTGGTGGGGACATGGGTGTGCAATGGGGACACAAGTGTGCAACAGGGACACGGGCATGTGGTGGGGACATGGCTGTGTGGCAGAGACACAAGTGTGCAACAGGGACCCAGACATGTCATGGGGACATGGGTATGCAACAGGGACATGGGTGTGCAATGGGGACACGGACATGTGGCAGGGACACAAGCGTGCAACAGGGACAACAGACGTGATGGGGCTGTGGACATGCGTGGGGGACACGGGTGTGCAAGGGGGATGCAGACGTGCAACAGGGCTGTGGGTGTGAATAAGTTGGGGACACGATGGGGATGTGATGGGGACACATGACGGGGACACAGTAACGCAACAGGGACACAGGTATGGGGTGGGGACACGTGTGATGGGACACGGGTGTGCAACAGGGACACGGGCATGGGGTGGGGACACGTGTGATGGGACACGGGTGTGCAATGGTGACAGGGACATGTGATGGGGTCACGGCCATGTGGTGGGGACCCCAACATGCAATGGGGACCCAGCTGTGATGGGGACAGACATGGCCATGCAAGGGGGTCAGGGACATGTGCCGGGGACCCCGCTGTGCCACGCACCCACGGGAGCCACGGCGCCATCCCCGGCCCCGGGTTGGTGCCAGCGAGGTGACGCCCCGTGGGCCCAGTGGCAAGGGGTGGGGAGCTGGCGTGTCCCCAGGGAGTCACAGCAGTGACCACGCGGGGAGGGGACATTTCCTTCCCGTCCTCGCCTGGCTGAGCCCGGGGACGAAGGTCTCTGTGGGGAAACTGAGGCACAGGGCGGGTGCTGCCCCTACAGCTCTCTCCTATCCAGCACCCGCGCAGCACTGCAGCATGAAGGCTCTCCTCCTCCTCCTCCTCGCCCAGCTCTGCTCACCATCGCTGGTCCCCGGTAGGTGAGGGTTTGGGGAGGTGGGGGGTGTCACCACCCGAAAAGTGGGTGCTGTTGGGTGCTATGGAGCCCGGTTCCCGCAGAGAGAGAGAAGGACCCCGAGTACTGGCGGGGGCAGGCGCAGGAGACCCTGCGGGACGCTCTGCGGCTCCAGCGCCTCAACCAGAACGTGGCCAAGAACCTCATCCTCTTCCTGGGCGACGGTGAGACAGGGGCACCCACCGGGGGCGAGGGGGGCTGCCCTGAAGGGGGGGCTGCGATAAATGGGTGCCATGATCGATTGGGTGTATTAAAGTGGGCGCTGTGGTGAAGCGGGTGCCATGGTGAATCGGGTGTATTAAGGTGGGTGTGGTGATAAAGGGGTTTGCAATACATTGGGTGCTGGGAGGAGCTGGGTTTGCAGTAAATTGGGTGCTGCGATTAGTTGGGTGCTGAGATTGGGTGCTGTGATAAGTTTGGGTTTGTGATAAATTAGGTGAGGGGATAAACTGGGTTTGCAATAAATTGGGTACTGGGATAAGTTGGGTGCTGGGATAAACTAGGTGCTGAAATAAATTGGGTGCAGGGATAAGTTGGGTGCTGGGATAAACTAGGTGCTGAAATAAATGGGGTTTGCAATAAATTGGGTGCTGGGATAAACTGGGTGCAGGGATAAACTGGGTGCAGGGATAAACTGGGTGCAGGGATAAGCTGGGTGCTGGGATAAACTGGGTGGTGCAATAAATGGGGTTTGCAATAAATTGGGTGCTGGGATAAACTGAGTGCTGCAATAAATTGGGTGCTACGATCAATTGGGTTTGCAAAAAAACGGGTGCTGTGATAAGTTGGGTGCTGGGACAAGCTGGGTGCTGCAATAAACTGGGTTTGCAATGAGTTGGGTGCTGCAATGAATTGGGGGCTGCGATAAACCACCTTTGTAACAAACCGGGTGCTGTGAGAAGTTGGGTGCTGCGACCAACTCAGCTTGCCATAAGTTGGGTGCTATGGTAAACTGGCTTCGCGATAAACTTGGGTGCTGTGATAAAGGGAGCGCTGCCATCAGTGGGGTTTGCAATAAATCGGGTGCTGGGATAGACTGGGTGCCCGCCAGCGTTGCGCGGCGCCCGTGTGGCGAGCTGGCCCGTCCTCGGCGGGGAGCTGACGGGTGCCCTGGCAGGCATGGGTGTCTCCACCGTCACGGCCGCCCGCATCCTCAAAGGGCAGCTGCAAAACCGCAAGGGCGAGGAGAGTCTGCTGGAGATGGACAAGTTCCCCTACGTCGCCTTGGCTAAGGTGAGTCCCCCGGGGAGGGGGGTCAGATCCTGAACACCCCCCACCCTCCCCCAGGATGCCCCTGGGGGACGCGACACCCACCGCAAGGTCACGGACAGGCAGCCGGCATCGACCGGGAGCCGAAATTAGGTCAGGGGCGGGCGAAGGGAGCTGGCGCTGATGCCCGCTCGCTGTGCCAGGGTCCGGCCCGTGGGAACGGGGAGGGGGGGCAGGATGAGGCTGCCCGGCCGTGGGAAGCCGCGGGACCCCCCCCTCCTGCTTCTGCTGGGGTCATTTTGCTGAACAAAAGGCTTTTTTTTTATTATTAAATTGAAAGTCTCGGCTGCTCCCCACTGTTTCTCTTCGCCCCGCGGGGGATGCTCGTAGTGGTGGTTTCTCTCTCCTTGCCTAAAAATGGGCTTAAAAAAGGCTGAAAGTATCAAAATACGGG